AATGCTTCTTTGGCTAAGGTGATGACCTCTCAAAGCATGACACGTGGATGATCAAGCCTAGCTAGTTGCTTGGCCAGTTACAGTACTAACATGGCTTTTTTAAACCTTGTAATTGTTGGATGATGGTGGCAGTTGGTTTGGACAATAAAGAAGGTAGGGAGGAATTTGGTGTCGGGGGCGATGATGATAGATTTGGGATTAAAGGGTACTTTAATTATTAAAGAGAATTTACAAAAAAGAATTTCCTTGAATTAATAATGAAATGATATTTTAGGAATAATGGTGGGTGAAAAAATAGGATTGTATTTTTTCAAATTTACATGGCGGGTGAGAAGATAAGGTTGGGTGGGGAAATAGGATAATGGGATGAAAATAGCAACACTCTAACTATATATATACAAATATGTTAACATTGTTTTGCTTTTTAGGAAATGAGTGAAACCAGATTCTGGCACTTTCATTTTGTGCCACATGTATTCCATTCACAAATAAATCTTGTATTTTTCCTTATAAAGTGAATAATTTTTTTTAAAACACATTAAATACATAGATTTTTGTGTTAGTGGAAGGCACAAAATGAATAGGGAATGGAAGAAAGGGAAGGCAAGAGGGGAAGATAGCTAGAATTACTCTTCCAAGAATTCCATTAATTATCAAATTAATAGCATTCTATTATTGCTTCTAATTAACAAGACGGTGGAAGCATAGCATATGTGGGTTAGTCCAATTGGTAAGGCAGTGCCAGTGAGCATTCAACTTTGCACCCAAGTTTGAATTCCCCATCCCAATATATTAGATTAATTTAGTGTAGATAATCACTTGTGGAAATAGCATCACTTGTAGATTAGATTAAAAAAAGCGTTGCTATTTCCACCAATATCATATTTCCCAACCCACCTTATCTTCAAAATTTTAAAGACAAATTTACCTCTTTGTAAAATGATTTCTAAGAATTTAGGGAAAACCTCAACTCACTTAACCTACCTATACTACCGTTTGACAAAAAGAAAAAAAGAGAAGAAAAAGCATACGACTCCTCAGTACTTAGGAGCTACAAGGTAGAGAATAAAAAGCTAAAACATACATAAAATCAAAATATTAGACTAAAACATTTATCATTTCCGTCAAACACAACTTTATCATCTCCATATCTCAACTACTAATGATTAGCAAAGAGAATTTGCTTGAATTAATAATTAAAGGAAATTTTAAGAATAATGGTGGGCGAAAAGATAAGGATTGTGTCCTTTCTAAATTTACAAGGTGGGGGACGAAGATAAGGTGAAGTGGAGGGGAGGAGGAAGGTGGAAATAGCAGCACTATTACTATATATGTACCAAAATGTTAACGTACTGTTTGGCCTTTTAGGAAATGAGTAAAACTAGATTGTTCGGGCACTTTTATTTCATGAAAGAATCAGGAAAGGACTTATATTCTTTCCAGCTCCGATTACCTATTTAATGCACACAGCAAATTGTGCAGTATAAAACAGACATAACTTTGTCCAGTTTCAACAGAAAGAAAAAGAAGAAGAAAAATTGTCCTGCGTGAAAAAATGAGTTCTCTGAGAAATGTTGTTATGCCTTTGCTGGTAATTCTTTTCATAACAACTTCTGTGGATGGTGCTCTCCTTGATGCTCCTAAAGACGTAGTCGTCAGAATCACCAACGCGTTACAAAACAACGTAAACTTGACGGTGCACTGCAAATCCGGCGACGACGACCTTGGGGTGCAGACACTTCGTATAAATGAAAACTTTGAGTTTAATTTCCAAACAAATATTTTTGGAAATACACTCTTCTTCTGCGGGTTTAAATGGTCGAATGAATTTCGTTGGTTCGATATTTTCACAGATAAGAGGGATGATTGCAGCAGTTGCTATTGGACTATAATTGAACTTGGGCCTTGCTTGTATGGTATTGACGGTCTCTGCTATCAGTGGAACAAGCATTAGCTTAAATTCCAATGTCAAACTTACAATAAAGAATTCTTCTCAATTTTAGCCACGATCCATTAACTTATGGGAGAGGTTTGTCAGAAGAAAAATATAAATAATTATGTAATCCTCGTTCGTAATGAATAATCTGATTATTGTCAATTGCTATTCTTTTCTGCCATTCTTTTGCTATAAAATGCAATGTCTCAAAGTGAAAAAATAAAATAAAATAAAATCTGTTTACGCGAAGAGGAATGCTAGTAACCTTCTCTCTAACCTTCTCTTTTGGACCTTCTCCCTTTTTTGCTTGACATGTGTCATTCTCCTTACACTTAAAACGATGTCATTAATATATTATACAAGCTAACTTTTGCTTTCCAAGTTTACCCTTATTAAATGTATTCAATTTATCCAAAAAGAAAAAACACAACTTTCTTACCATCTTATTAATTTTTTTCTAACGTCAATTAATTTTTTATAAAGAAAATATATGCTTTAAGAGAAATGGATTTTTTTTTTTTTTTTTTTTTTTTTTTTTTTTTTTTTAATTTATTTAAAAAAACAAAGGGTTTAGATAGGGGAAAAAAAAATCCTTTGTGTTATTAAAAAAAATATATATATAGGACATTTCCTCTTTTTTGAAAAAAGCAGATATTTTCTTTAAAAAAATAATTGACGTTTAAAAATAAATTAATAAGATGGTAAGAAAGTTGTGAATTTTTTGGATAAATTGAATACATTTAATAAGGGTAAACTTGGAAAGAAAAAGTTAACTTGTATAATATATTAATGACATTGTTTTAAGTGTAAGGAGAATGACACATGTCAAACAAAAAATAAAGAAGGTCCAAAGGAAAAGGTTAGAGAGAAGGTTGCTAGCATTCCCTTTACGGAATGTTGGAAATGGGAAGAGATCAAAATTCACATGGGAGTTTTGTGCCATGCCTTGTTCACCACCAAATTTGTAGTCCCGCATTGGTTGTGTCTCTAACAGATATACATGTTCCAACATGTGTCAGTATGTCTATTTAAACACCATTAATCCTCATTCCATAAATAATATCGAATTTGCAGGACATAGCACTAAAATATTTGTGTGCATTTTCTGAGAGATAAGCACACATATTTCGCCAGTAAAAGAATTTCTGGTATGGGCGATATTCTTTTTCAAGGACATTGCAATCCAGCAAGCCTCTCTCTGCACAAAGAGTGAGTGTTTCATTACCGTTTGTTATTTAATTTCATGTTTTTATTTCATTCCGTATTGCTAGATTATTTATTTAATTAGTAGAATAAATAATCATTATAAAACTAATTGTTGCACCGTCAACAATATTTCGGAAAACTATCCACACAAGATCAATTTTTTTTTTCCTTTTTTAACCAATAGATATATAATATATATTAAAAACTAACATTTAATGTACCAGAATATTATCAGAAAACTATCCTCACGAGATCAAAAGATTTTTCCTTTTTTAACCAATAGATATATAATATATATTACAAACCAACATTTTAATGTACTGGAAGGAGGATCATATACAGGTGCTAAGGAGTTTCGTTTAAAATGTTAAATTTGACAAACCCCGATATGGTTCACTATAGTCACCCTAAGAAATGGAGATAATGGATGACGGTGGCTGATGGAAGTGATTAAGGTATGATATAAGAAGGCTGATGAAGTAATTGAATCATGATTAGAAGGTAATTAACAATACTTAAGCTTATTAAATTTTAAGGGCTTGTCCAATATAGATCCCTACATTTTCTATTTCCTAGACATATACCCATCACTCTATAAATCTATGTGTAAAACCCAATTTCAAATTTAAATGACTAGTAGGATATAAGAGGTCGTAGTATTTCTATGTTTTTACATCATTGCCACCAAACTTCATATTTTATTTATAATTTATTTCAAGCATTTCATTAACTGCCATAATTGTAATTAATATACTCCCTATTAATAGCATATCAATCACCCCATTTCTTTTAGTTGTCATTCCCTCTCACATCTCGCCCCCTAAAATTACAAAAATAAAAATAAAAAAATCTGTAAATTACATATCCAATAATGTACATATAAAAAATATATATATAAATATATAAATATAAATATATATTTATATAAAAAAAAAAAAAAAAAAAAAAAAAAAAAAAAACAAAGTTACTTTGTAATTGCGTATATTTTTCATAATTAAAAATAGGTACACAATAATTTATATAAAATATAGGTACATTATTTACCCACAGGTAAATTATTTTACAATATACCTGTAAATGTGTATAGGTACATTATTTGGAATAGATAATTATGTACACTTTTCATACTAGGTAAATTATGTTTTTCATAAAACAAACAAGTAATAGGTACATTATTTTTTCAACATAATTAGTATGTACAGTTTTATTCATAAACAATTATAAAGTGGATTATTAGTCATGTATAATTCATAAAAAGAAAATAACATAAAATTTTTATTAAACAAACCGATTACCTAAATTTGAATTTATTGTTAAATTTTTTTAAAAATGTTTCAAAATTAATTCCTACATCCATTACAACCATTTGGAGATCTTTCCAAATTCAACATCTGTCATTATATACAATCCAATTAAAAATTGTTTCCATATTGATTCATACATTAATATACAAAATGCAATAATGGCTTAGTTGGGGGTATTTTTGGAATCTGAAAAGTACAATAAATCAGATTTTATGCTTAATTAGGTAACTTGCTGAGTTGGATCCTAGTTATGAGTTTTTACTTATACAAATTGGGTATTATTTATAGGAACAAAAAGTGAAGGGTTTTAGGTAGGGCAAATTGAATTTGAAGGGTGTAAGCCAAATTTACTAAAATTTTAAATATACCCTATCAAATTTCTCAAAAATCATCAGGACTGATGTAGGTGATTAAGGCATGATGGAAGCTGACGGAGAAAATTGAGGCATAATTGAAAGCCACTCTTTTGATATAAAAGCACACAGTCGAACGTTCCCAGCAGTAGACTCTTAAAAGAACAAAAAAAGATAAAAAGAAATCCGAGTGCTAGAAAAATGAGGGGATCAACAATTCTGCTGTTGCTTGTCTTAGGGTTTATAGGCCAAAAAAGCAGCTGCATTGATATCTTCCCCGGAAAAAAGCACTTTGTGCGAATTGTGAACCAGCTCGAGAAGGAACAACTCGACTACCATTGTCGATCGGCAGACGATGATGTTGGCCTTCGCAGCCTTCTCCCCGATGGGGAGTGGGAGTTTGGATTTCGCAATAACTTCATCAACACACACTGGGACTGTGATTTTTGGTACGCAAATTACAGTGCTCATTTTCGAGCGTTTGACTGGTATGATGATTTTTTGGAAAAATGTGGTGGGGCCCACTGCATATGGGCGGCCAGAGAGGATGGAATATCCTTGTATAGCATCACAGAGAACGAATGGTATATAGAGTTGGGCTGGACAGAAAACAAACCACACCTTTGAGAAGATATATGATGAGATGTGCCAAGCCATATGGTTTTGCTAGTTTTCTGTTTCTTTTCTTTTGTTTTTGTTTTTAAATTCCCCGTTACAATTGCTTGTTTTGTTTTGTTTTTTTTTCATCATACGATAAGGAAAACGTCGGCCATTGGGATCTTATTGTATGTAGTAAGAGGAAATGTTTTTGTTTTCATTGTTATTTCTTTTTTGCTCAGTCTTCTTTCTCATTCAAGTTCTTACTTTTTTTCTTGGATCATGACTTAATCATGAGCAGAAAATGGGGTATATCGGTAGATATAACGAAATAATAGTTATGATGTTTCTTTTTCTAATTAAACGAGGAGTTCAAATCCTCTGCTGAACTGTAGTCCTTTATGTGTTGAATTAAGTAATTATATATGTCCAAACTGCGTTATTTTAAGCGACTATTAAAATGTAATAGCATTATTGCTAATTTTTTAGTACAAAACTTTAAATGCTAGGGGCTTGTGGGTCGTCAATTAAGGTATGTAATGTGAGATTATTTCTTGGTTTGGGACTCCTCCCAGAATTATTAAGTAATGTGAGGTTGAGGTGAACTTAGAGTGGTGAAGGACAAGATAGCGGAGTAAATAAAAATTTGAATTATAAGTTGGGGTGAACTTAAAACATGGGGTGACAAAGAGAAGTGTGGGGTTAAATAAAAAAACTCTATATTATCCTTCATGAAATAACATGTCTATGTTTATTTGCTCATTAAATAATATATTTTTTTGAAGCTCATTAAATAATATTTTTCTTGAAGCTCATTAAATAATATTTAGATCAACATGAAATTAGTTATTGTACGTGGTCTAAGCTTGAAACCCCAATATATTTTGGAATTCGAAATTTTTCAGAATTCGAGATACATTCTAATTCCAATCTAACTTTTTTCAGAATTTTCATATCGAAATCGGATTTTCAATCCAACTTGCAAGTTGCACCTACGTATGTATATAAAATGTATTGGACGTCACACCACATTTGTGAATTATACTGTTCACTTTCTGTCGAAACAATTTCATCTAGAATATGCATACAACGTCGACAACATCTATATTTCTTTTGTAAGAAAAATATATTATAAAAAAAAAAAAAAAAATTTGATTTAAATAAAATTAAAAAAAAAAAAAAAAAAAAAAAAAAAAAGAAAAGACGACTGAAGAGCAGGTTTTCTTCTCCATTAGGTAGCAAAGCAGGAATCTCGGGTATCTGATTCGGGAAGGTTACGTACCAAAAAAACATTTGCGTCCTTATTACATTAAACGTTTCATTTAAAATGCTTAATTTATATTCCGTTGTTACTTAAGATGTTTAAGCTGCATTCCGCTATACTATATATGAAAAGAAAGACAATGGTTTTGTGTGTGAGACTTGGGGAGAGAGTGAAAAATCTTTTTCGAGTACAAGCGATTGAGGGAGGAGGGTTTTACACAAATATATTTATAAAAGAAAAAAATAAAGGAAAAAATAAAATGGGAAAAGGTTGGCTCGTTGAAATTGGGGAAGAGACCCTCCTTGCAAACAATGAGGTTTTGACACTTGTCAAATTTTTTGGTTCTTTTTTGTTGAAAATTTGTCAATGTTGCTTGAATCTCCATTGATTTTAAATAGCCAAGCCAAGAGAAAATCAAAGTTCATGGGGGTGATTAAGGGATGAGGGTGGTTGATGAATCTGATGGGGAGAAATAAATAAGGCACATGATTGGATAGCTGATTACGCTTACTATAATTTGAATTATCCAATCAAATTCCTCAGAAATCAAGGGTGATTGCGCATGATTGAATAGCTAATTAAGCTTATTATGATCTTTCGAGTATCCAATCAAATTCCTCAGAAATCATGGCTGATTGAGATGATTAAAGGAGGTATGATATGTCTGCTGCTTAAATCAAATTCCTCAGAAATCATGGCTGATTGAGGTGATTAATTAAGCTGATATAGACAACTGAGGCATAACTGGAAGACAATTAACAGTAGTTTAGCTGGTCATTTTTAGATTATACCCTATAAAAATTGCTCAATAACGACTATTGATGGCAATGATCAAGGCATGACTCTTGAGGCTGATGGAGGTTGATGGCAGTAAAATTCAAGCTCATGGAGAAAACTGAAGCATGATTGAAAAGCATATCCTTCGCTATAAAAAACACACAGCAAGAGCGCAATGCACAGATTGGACCAAATTATATGTCGACTACCATTAGAAAAATGAAGGGATCAACCCCAAGATGGCAGCTGCACTTTTTTTTAGTCTTGCTTGCCCTAGCCTTTGTTGGTCAAATTAGCTGCTTTAATCCGCATCCAATCTCCGGGAGAAAGCACTTCGTCCGTCTTGTTAACAATCTCCAAAACGGGCAACTTTTGGTTAAGTGTGGATCCGAAACTCCAGATGATCTTCTTGGTGAGCATCTTCTTGGCACCAATGAGGAGTATGAATTTGGATTTCGCATGAACCTCTACCGCACTAAATTTTACCGCTGTGATATGTCCTACTCCAATCACCATAATCGTTTCGAAGCATTTACCGCCACTAAACATTTTCTGGAAAAATGTGGCGGAGTTCATTGCATATGGAGGGCGCAAGAGGATGGGATATCCTTGTACAACATCAAGCATGATCAGTGGTCTCTGATGTACCGTTGGGAAATACAGAGAATTTAATAGATGAAGAAGATGATGAGACCCCAAGCTTAGCTTTCTTTCTGTGTTAATGTACCTAAACAAATAATTTGATATTAATGGTTTTGTTTCCCCATGTTATCTTGTTTTTTAATATAAGTGATAGTCTAAACTACGGATCCAGATCCTTTGCTCTGATTTTCTCTACCATGTTCTGCTTTTGGGGATTTATAAAGTTGATATTATTTCATAAAAAAAAAAAAAAAAAAAAAAAAAAAAAAAAAAACCCCTAACACGTTAACGGAATAGTTTTTTTCGAATTAACATCAAAAGACTCCTAAAAATTTGGGGTCATTCTCAATATGGGTCCTAGAGTTTTAATTTAATCATTTTACATCCCATGATTTTAAAATTTGACCAATTTAAGCATTCCGTTAAGTTGACCGTATGGTCAAACGTTAATTGATGACGTGTCCATTGTTGGACCCACAAATTTCTAAAAAAATAAAAAATTAATTATATAATATAATAAAATGACATTTTTTAAAAACTTTTTTTAAAAACCTCCCTCTCTCTCTACGTCCCCTTCCCTTCCGATGAATCTAGCCACTCACACCTCCTCTCCAAAGCACAACTCCGCCATTGACTGCTTGTCTGTCCTCGCTAAAACCAAGTCCATCACTCCTCTCCTTTCGCTCCGCTGCAGCACTGCCCACCCCTCTTCCTCATCCCCACCCCACCTCAAGGGAATGATAGTTTCAGTGCATGGGTGAAATGGATATCGAATGTTTTAGGCGAAAAGTGAGATGGGTATGGTGTTCTGATGAAGAGGGTGGCCATGGATGCCATTGAAGATTTGAATTAAGGCCTATTCTTTCTTGTCTCTGGCTCTGCTCAAAGTTCAAAGTATCAGAATTTTGATTTTGATTTTTGAAAAACAAAGTAGCAGATTTGGTTCAAGGCTAGAAATCTAGGCATCAGAACTACCCTTCTCTAGAGGAGATTTGATTTTGGAATGAGGGAAAACTGCATAGTTCTTAGGCAGATATTTAGGTGAAGCAAAAGAATTGGTATTTGACTAAGAATCTGGGGTTTTAATCCTCATATCAGGTCCAAAAAGAATGTTCTTACTCTCTGATGAACGAGAGACTTTCCCATAAACCTTCACATCATCATTAAGAGAATCTATTATGCTTAACCCTACTTTACTGCTACCCCCATCTCCTCTGCGACCCATCATTGTTGGACCTTGGGGACCTAAAAGGGTTGCCCAAATTTGAAAACACCCTAAAATCTAGAGGAGAAGTTGGGCTCATAACTGAATCAAAATCTGTTAAACCCTTAGAACTCAACCCCACAAACAGACCAGGAACACTGAAAAAATAGTTGCTTTTGGGATTGTGTCCCAAAACATTAGACCCAGCATCAGCAATTGGCAAACGACCCATTTGGTGTTGATTCTTCTGAATTGACCTGCTTCGCTTCCTCGGCATTATCACAACTATCTCCCTTTTGGGAACCAAAAGCCCTCCTTTTCCTCAGCATTATCTCAATTGTCCCCTATATCAAAATTGAAAGACCTAGGATTATCCACTCTCTCTGTCTCAGCAACTTTTCCAAAATTTCACAAAACCAAAACCGTAACCTTTCTGCAACCTGTTCGAATCCAAAATTTTAGAGAGGGCAGACGAGTAGTAGATGGCGGAGCTACACTTCGGAGAGGAGGTGCAGGTGGCTGGACATGTCAGAGGGTGAGTGGGGATGTGGTAGGAGAGCTTGTATGAGAAGGGGACGGAGAGATAGAGAAGGATATATATTTTTAAAGTTTTTTATTTTTATTTTTATGTTATTATATTATATTATATTATATTATATATTTATTTTAGAGATTTGTGGGTCCCTTAATGGACACGTCATCAGTTAACGTCTGACCAAACGGTCAACTTAACGGAAGACTTAAATTGGTCAGATTTGAAAATCATAAGGTGTAAAATGATGAAATTGAAACCTGATGACTCATATTGAGAATGACCCCAAACCTTAAGGGGGTCTTTTGATGTTAATCCTTTTTTTTCTCTTGCTTCACGTTATGTCCTCTTCTCTATTTTGCCTTCTTCCTTACATTCTTGCTTTTTTTTTTCCTTCTTCATGTCTCTGCCCCAAATCTTACCTCTCAGTAAGCTTTCTTTTTCCCAAACCTATGTAATCATAATCCCTTCCCTTTTCCCTATCAAAAGAAGAAGAAAAAACTTTTCCTCCCATATCCAAAGGATTTCTTTGTTGTTAATCAACTCAACACTTGGCTGAAATAACTTTTAATGTTGAATTACAACGGGGTTGAATCTGGCAAGGTGTGAGTCTCACATGAGCATTTTAAAAGACATGGCAATACACGTGTTACTCAACAGATGACTAGTCATATCCTAATACATTCTAATGTGTGTAATGCATGATTTACCTTTGAGCTGATTTGCATTTAGCCACACTTTGTCTCTATCATAGTAGGCTTCTCCAAACTAGTCTAACCACTAATCAAACTTGAGCTTGATGATGTAGAGCAGCAAATACAATGTTTTCTAAAAAAGCCAAAAAACAAAATAGCTAAAGCTAACCTAAGAGAAAGGCAATAATAAATCAAAGGACAAAATCAAGGATGCTGGAGGTGATTAAGACATGATATGTCTCTGTGATAGTAGGCCTCTCTAAACTAGTCTAACCTAGACTATTTAAACTTGAGCTTGATGATTTATAGTATCAAATACAATGTTTTCCAAAGAAGCCAAAAAAACAAAAACAAAAACAGCTAAAACTAACCTAATAGAAAGGCAATAATAAATCATAGGATAAAATCAAGGATGATGAAGGTGATTAATGTAAATGTATGGATTTTGTAATTTTCTTTTGGCTTCCCTTGACAAGTTTGTAATAAGACAATCATTGTATTTTCTCAAGCTCAAGTTTCGATTAAGAATTTCATCTCTAGGTGTTCTTATCTGGCTACATTATGATGGACAACATTGTGTTTGACAAAGGTAAGTTTTGTATTGCATTAACCTATTCCTGAAGATTATGACTAGGTATCCTTTCTCCGTATCACTAGTCATCCTTCCTCCATATGACTAGTCAACCTTTGCGTTAGTAAGATTTCCAGGTTACTGTTTCCAGCTAGATCCTACCCACTTTTTTGTCATATTCTGCGAAATCCTCTGCTGCCTTGTACGATTCTAACCTAAGAATTTTGGTGTAAAAACGCATGCATTCCTCATTTGGTAGCCGTCATTTTTGTAGGCAAGTTTTGGAAAGTTTCTCTGTAAACTTTCTCTTCTTCCTCAAGTGTAACCTTCATATTTTTCATATTTGAGTTTTCCAAAATGTTTCTTTTTTAAAACTGCATTTGAAATATGAAAACCTCATCTTGCTAGATCAAACACTCTCTCATCAGATTCAAGATTGATTTTTTCAAGAGTATGATTTCTTGAAGAAATTGGTCATTCTTCCTTTGAATTCAAATTTCCTTCTTATTTGAGTTGGAGCTAGCCAGCTGGTGCCATGGGATGAAAGAGCTGAAGAAGGAGCTGCTATTGTCATGAAGACCTAAGTTGCTGGTTTTGCTAAGCTAGAGAAGAAGATTGCACAAAGGAAGTAAAGCTCATCTTCCTAAATAGACCCAAGAATTTCTTGAGCTTGCTAGTGTTTCTTTGTAAGAATCTTTTTGCTTAGTGGATTGCCTGGTCAATTGATGACCCCCAGTTTTTCCCAATGGTGGGTTTCTGGGTGAACAATTTCTGGTTTCCATATCTGTAAATTTTCTGGGTTTGTGTTCTTGATAGTTGACTAGTCGTTGCATGATGTTCATGTGTTTTCTGGGTTTGTGTTCTTGCGGTTGACTAGTCATCATTTTCTGTTGTTTGGTGTTTGCTGATTATATTGTCTTCACACACTTTCACCATAGTTGTTGCTAGCACAGGGGATGTCTAGATTGACGGGTCCTTCTGAGTGCCTAGGTTGTCACTAGTAATTCTCTAGGCTTGCATGTACATCTTGGTTTGCTCCGTGTATGTTATTGTTTGGTATAATTGACAGTTGACTAGTCATAAGAGTATTTGGTCTAGGTCTAGAATGTGTGAAGTTTGTTGTGTTCTTGGTTGAATTTCTTTTAAATTTATCCCTCGTCACCTAAGTACCAATTTCAATTAAGTCACGTGAATAGTGATTGTTCTAGCAATTGTTTTGATGCATTCCTACCCATTGTCATGGTAACCACTATTTACATGAGATATGAGGAGAGGAATTTGTATGGATTTTGGTGTGGGAAGTGAAGAATATGACTAGGTATTTATATAAAGAAAAAAAATCTGAATTTTTTGGTATTTAAATTGGCCGCTTAAGTCACACTGACCTCAACATGACATCAGCTTGCCTAGGCAAGTCTTGCCTTTAGGCTTACCTAGTTTCATGGGCCCACTTCTTTCCATGGCAACTTTTCCTTGGTGATGGTTGTTTTTGGAGCCTAGGCCCCCTTTTACCATGGCAAAAGAGGATGGGTGAAAGTGCTCTAAGACATAATATATGAAGGGAATAGTTGAGCTTATTATCAAATTTCTCAAAAATCATGACTGATGGAGAAAATTATAAGGCATAATTGATTAGGAAATGGTTGACTCTTCTCTACATGCTTGGTATAAATATACGCCCCACATGAATTTGGGCCTACTAAAAGTTTTAAAAAATGGTGGGTGGAAAATATGATTGTGTTTTTTTCAAGTGGAAAATGCTAGCACAAATTTACATGGTGGGTGTGAAGATAAGGTAAGTGGAAAAATAGGACAACTGGTGGAAATAGCAGCACTCTTTAGAGAAAGAGATAATAAATCCGAACTGAAAAAGAAAATTATAATTCTCCCCTAAAACGGAATTGAATTAATTAACCAACCAAATAGATATTTACCTTATAAAAAAAAAACCAAATAAATATTTACATACATTTGTTCTCTTGTTGTAAGAACAGATGTATTCCTACCCATTGTCATGGCAACCACTATTTACATGAGATATGAGGAGAGGAATTTGTATGGATTTTGGTGTGGGAAGTGAAGAATATGACTAGGTATTTATAGAAAGAAAAAAAATCTGAATTTTTTGGTATTTAAATTGGCCGCTTAAGTCACACTGACCTCAGCATGACATCAGCTTGCCTAGGCAAGTCTTGCCTTTAGGCTTACCTAGTTTCATGGGCCCACTTCTTTCCATGGTAACTTTTCCTTGGTGATGGTTGTTTTTGGAGCCTAGGCCCCCTTTTACCATGGCAAAAGAGGATGGGTGAAAGTACTCTAAGACATAATATATGAAGGGAATAGTTGAGCTTATTATCAAATTTCTCAAAAATCATGACTGATGGAGAAAATTATAAGGCATAATTGATTAGGAAATGGTTGACTCTTCTCTACATGCTTGGTATAAATATACGCCCCACATGAATTTGGGCATGCTAAAAGTTTTAAAAAATGGTGGGTGGAAAATATGATTGTGTTTTTTTCAAATGGAAAATGCTAGCACAAATTTACATGGTGGGTGTGAAGATAAGGTAAGTGGAAAAATAGGACAACTGGTGGAAATAGCAGCACTCTTTAGAGAAAGAGATAATAAATCCGAACTGAAAAAGAAAATTATAATTCTCCCCTAAAACGGAATTGAATTTATTAACCAACCAAATAGATATTTACCTTATAAAAAAAAAACCAAATAAATATTTACATACATTTGTTCTCCTGCTGTAAGAACAGATGTATATAAATAGCTAGAGTGTACATAGTGGGATCAAATCATATCGAGGATAAGCAAAATGAAAGGAAAAACTTTACGGGTGTTGTACTATTTTCTGCTCTTGGCTTCATTAGCCTTCAAGCCAAGTTCCTGCTCCAGTACTTTGTCAATTGGGAAAAAGTACTTTGTGCGTATCGTCAACGATCTGGACAACAAACCACTTGACTTCAGTTGTAAATCTGGTGATGATCAAATCAATCGCAGTCTTCCTACTGCTGGATCAAAGTTTGAATTTGGATTTCGACTCGGGTTTACGACTCAGTTCAATTGTGACCTGCGGTACTCAACTTACCATGCTATGATTATTGCGTTTAGAGATGATGAGGCTCTTCTTAATGATTGTGGTGGAGTGCATTGCATATGGAGTGCGAGAGAGGATGGAATATACTTATATAGGATCAAGCATGATGATTATAAAAAGTGGTATGACTGGGAAAAGCAAATTCAAACATGAAATTTGTCGGGCCTTGAGTTCTGATATATTTGTACTCAAAATAAATATAATAAAGGGATTTGTTTTTGTTTAGATTCCTCTTACTTTTTTATTCAATTTCTATATCTTGGTTTTGTTTTGGAGTCTGATCAAGACAGTGAGTCCGCTGAACAATCAAATTTTTCATCTCTCGCTCTCTTCTTATTCTTAATGTCTTTATCTCTCCTATGCACTTGTAATCCTACTAGTCAGTATGATTATCAATTTCAAGACTCGTTTTATTGATACTGGATATCAATTTCAAGTTTTATTCTATCATTGCAACTTTCAAGTGTTGGTGCATCTGATTTGGTATGTTTCAAGAGCAATTTCCATGGGGCTTTTTTCTTTTGGGAGTTTCATTATTATACTTAATATAGGAGCCCAAATTATTATATAAAAAAATCTACATTAAATGAACTTTAGAAACACACCCAAAGCCCATTTACAATATAACAAAAAGGCTTTGAACTTCCTATAATTTATAACATTGCCGTTTGTTTTCTTAAAACAAGCCAACCTCAAAAAGCTCACAAATAAAGCCAAAACAAAAGGGTAAAACCCAATAGGACAGCTGGCAATAGTAGGGTTTTTATTTTTGGGTTGTTGTAGAATTCAGTATTATTATTTGATTTTGAAAGAGTTATTTGGTATTAAAGTTGAGAGAGAGAGAGAGAGAGAGAGAGAGAGAGAGAGAGCTTACGACTTGGGAGCACACCAAAGGCGAGAGCCAACTAACTAACACCCCATTGATATAAAAAATTATCTTAACAAGGAAAAAAGTCCGGTTGGCGTGCGTGTGGTATTGAACTAATTAAAAAGATAAAAGTAAAATATATATGCGACCTCAGCAAAGAGAAAATTTACCATATATATCCATATCTAGCCTATTTATGTGGCTTGCCAAAAGAATCTGAGAACATATGCATGCATGCTGGGCTGGATGATCAAAAACTCGAAACAGCTATAGGTTTAAAATTAGGAACAATTTTTTCTTATTCATGTATATGACAATTGTTTCCTACCATCACATTGTTGCAATATATTCGAGACCAGCATTTAATTATATATTTACGAAAATAGTATATTGTCATAACGTTAGAATAAAAATGTATGGTTTTCATGGCAAGGAAAGCATTCGTGAAATTTGATTGGAGCATTTAAGTTCCCTTTGAAATAATTAGGAAAGGATTGCCTCAATCCAGCTTAGATGAGCATGTTCTTGTGGTAGTAATCTTGGGTTTTTGAACTATAAAGTAGAGGGAGAGAGACGGTCCTCTTCATCTTCTTCAACTTTTATTTTTTTTTTTTTTTTTTTTTTTTTTTTGTTTTTTTTTTTGGGAGGGAGTTAAATTTGTACTCCTACTTGAAAAGAAAATAAAAAACAGAGAGAGAGAAAAAAAGAGTCCTATTCAGAGAAATGCTCTTCCACTTATGCTGCTGCTAGTTATTTTTTTTAAAACCACCAGTATTGCTGCTGACATTGGCCTTCCAAAGGATGTCACTGTCCGTCTCAACGTATGAGGAGAGATCGTAATCATGGCTGGCTAGAGAGAGTGGGGAGGAATGGATTGGACAGGGGGCTGGGTAACAGTACAGAGGTGGGTGCTTGGGGAAGTGGGGGAGATGGCTGCCGTAAAGGAAGAGGGAGGAGAGGGGGGTATGCGTATTGAGGGGGAATGGGTTTGATATTTTTTAAAGAATCTTTTTAGTTTAAAAAAAAATCTTTTTCTTATTTTAAATTGGTTTTAATGTTCTATTAATATTTTAATCAATTTAAGTTAAAAAAATAAGTCCCATAATACTACATCATCACTTAGCAGATTATTTAAGAGTCATTCTAACAGCAGTCACATTGCCACATGATGTCGTGGGAATTCAAACCTTAGACCTCTGGTGGCATATATTAAAACAATAATAGGTGGCATATATTTTAGCTTTCTTTTTTAATAAAATAAAGGCTTAATTATGTACATGCCCCATGTGCTTTCAAACTTATCTCAGATTACTACATGTGTTTGCAAACGTCTCAAAGTCCCCCCAACTTTTTAAAAACCGTCTTACGTTACCCGTTCCGTTAGTTTTTTTGACGTTCCGTTAAGTTTTTGTTACTATTCGAGAATAGCAGCCCCTCCCAATTCGAGAACAACAGCCCCTCCCCTTTGTTACTGTTCATCCGAACAGTTTTTGGGCCACCATCTCCTCCTTCGGCCACCCCAAGCGACAGCATGGGTATCAAAAGAACCAGCACATTGTCCTCTACTAGCCTCACATCTCAGCCGCTGCCAACTGCCGTCTGGATCGCTGGAACAAGCAAGAAATTGGCCGGTTTTTACCCAAAATCTTCATCGCTCGTTCGGGTGATTCCGAGCACCATTTGCTTCGATCCAGGTAGGGTTTTTCAACCTCTCGAGCTGTTCTTGCTGCTAGTTGTGTTGGTTAGGAGAAATTTCTGAGGACAACTTAACGGAACGTCAAAAAAACTGACGGAACCGGTAACGTGAGACGGTTTTTAAAAAGTTGGGGAATACTTTGAGACGTTTACAAACACAGGTGGTAATTTGAGATAAGTTTGAAAGCACATGGGGCATGTACATAATTAAGCCTAAAATAAATTTGACCACATTAATTGATCGCATAGCTCACCACATGATGCGGTAAGTAGTCAATTAAATGCATTCAAATAGGGTTACTTGAAATAGTACAAACATTATTATCACTTAAATGTGGTCAATTAAGTGTGTTCAAATAACGTTACTCTAACAAATATCTTTATTATTAATATGAAATGTTATATTTGTTTACACATTAAAACATGAACTCACTTGAAAAACAATCCAAATTCATAATCTAAGAACATGTCCAAATTCATATGACTCTAGCCTGAAATGGAACTGAATTAATTAATGGCTTAATTATGTACATGCCCCATGTGCTTTCCAACTTATCTCAGATTACCACCTGTGGTGGAAAACGTCTCAAAGTACCCCCCAATGTGCAAAAAACTGTCTCACGTTACCCTTTCCGTCAGTTTTTTTGAAGTTCCGTTATTAACGTTACTGTTCATCTCCCCCAAAATTCCAGAACAGCAGCTCCTCCCATTTGTTACTGTTCATCGCACCAGTTTTTGGGCTGCCATCGCCTCCTCCGGCCACCCCAAGCGACGACATGGATATCAAAAGAACCAGCACGTTGTCCTCTACCACCCTCACATCTCAGCCGCTGCCAACCGTCGTCTGGATCACCGAAAAAAGCAAGAAATTGGCCGGTTTTTACCCAAAATCTCCATTGCTCGTTCGGGCGATTCCGAGCACCATTTTCTTCGATCCAGGTATGATTTTTCAACCTCTCGAGTTGTTCTTGCTGCTAGTTGTGTTGGTTAGGAGAAATTTCTGAGTTTTGGAGGGTAAATAAGCGATGAACAGTAACAAAGGGGAGGGGCTACTGTTCTGGAATTTTGGGGGAGATGAACAGTAACATTCGTAACGGAATTTCAAAAAAACTGACGAAAAGGGTAACGTGAGACGGTGTTTTGCACGTTGGGGGGTACTTTGAGACGTTTTCAAACACAGGTGGTAATCTGAGATAAGTTGGAAAGCACAGGGGGCATGTACATAATTAAGCCTTAATTAATCAATAACAAAATTACAGTTTTTAGAAAGAAAGAAAATAAGAAAACAAATAATTCTTTTGCTATAAGAACACATATATACATATATATAGCTAGAATGCACGTACTGATCAACTCATGTTGAGGATTAGCAAAATGAAAGGAAAAGCATTACGGCAGTTTTTATTTAATTTTTATCCATATTGATGATCAGAAGCAGTGATATAATTAAGAATGCGAAAGTGATAGATGAATTTGTTTATAAATTAATCAAAAGCAAGATTGAAATTTCCCTATCAAATGAACCCAAAAAAAATACTTCCCTTCCCATATCCATTGTTTGATGAGGGTGGTTGCAGACATAGGAAGCAAAAGAGAACGTGATGCAGGAAGAAGGAGAACCACCAACAACAAAAAAAGAGGACTCGGATGATTCTTATTATGTTCATACTCTTCTTGGTAATAATATTTTTGTGTTCTAACATTGGAGACAGAAAAGAATGATGAGCGATAAGATTTGGAGGTGTGGGGAGAAGTGCTGAGAAAGAAGAAGAAGAAAAAGAAAAGAAAAAAAAACTGCTACAGCCGTTAAGTTTAGACTTTAGTCAAATTAAGGTTTTTATTATTATTTTTAATTAGGAGTAAATTGAATTTTTATTTCAAGGAAGATGTGTCCAATTTAAATCCGTTAAATTAAATTTTAATGAGGTGTCAGGTAGAGAACAAAAGTCAAATAAATCATGGTAGAGAAAATCAGAGTAGAGGATCCGGATCCTATATATATATATATATATATATATATGTGCACAATCTTTACTTAATTTTTACCATGCAATCTTAATTACACAACCTCACCTTGCAAATAACTTTTATCATTTTTTTTGTGGTTAAATTATTAGATTATTGATAAATAAACATGTCTCAAAATTTCATTCAAAATTTACATAGTTTTTTTAATTTAAATTTTCATTATTTTTATTTAATTTTTATCAATATTGATATTTTCCTTGAAATTTTTACATTTTGGGACTATCGATATTTCCGAAATACCCGACATTTAAGACCTTGCATGTAAGTGAGAAAGAAAAAAAAACAAAAAGCATGTTTCAGAACAATATAGCCATATTTGAACTGCTCAAAGTTGAAAGTTTAGCTCCTTAGTTTTTTAAATATTGTATTGTAAATCGCTTAGGTAACGTTTGGTATCCTATTCAAGTAGCGAATCCAAAAACTTTGATTTTTCTTAAAATTAAGGAGTTCTAAAATCCTTTTCTTAATATTCAAACACTTGTTTATAATCTTATTCAAGTGGGGAATGCAAAACTCCAATTTTTCTTTTAAACAAGAAGTTCTAAAATCCACATTTTAATATTAAAAACTTGTTTGGTATGCAACTTAAAAAACAATATATATAATTAAAATTCTAAAAAAACACAACAAAAAATAATAATATGTTTTTGAGTTATTTTTTAGTTTAGGTTTCCAAAACTAAGCCTACCAGCCAAAGCTGATGATGACGATCAAAATTTTTTTTAAATAGAAAGTATAGGCACCTTGCTATACTCTTTAAATATAATATAATTAAATAGTATAGCCACTCGGCTAGTCCAAGATGTTTGGCACTTAAGCTCCTTCTGCGATTCCATCAAGTTTGCACATGTGTTTCGTGAAGCCAACTTCGTGGCAGATTTTCTTGCCAACCTTGGCCATAAGCTTTCCCCTTTGTTCCTTTGGGAAGTTGGGTTGCTGTTACCTGATGCTCCTGCTTTGCTTTGTAATTTTCCTTCCCGCATAAAAAAATAAAGAAAAAAGAAAAATGTTTCCTAGCATTGTATTGTTGCAATATATATTCGAGACCAACATTTAATTATGGATGTAAAATGGTAAAATGGTATAAAAAGTTAGAATGAAAATAGTAAAAAGGTGGAACAAATTGTATTGGTGAGCTCCATCTCAATTAAAGAGGCAGTATATAAAATGTGGTAAGTATTGATTTGGCAAGAGTACTCTTATTTCACAGAGAGTTAGGTACAACATGGTGACGTGAACATGGACACAATCAGATGAAAAAGCGATAACGATAAGGTACAGAGTGTGCGTTTTAGTCAAATGCAACTATGTTGTCGTGGATTGACTTAAACTCATTTAATTAATTCAATGATTAATATTGTTTTAAATGCATATAAAAGCACGGGTACATATGTAGAAAGTAGAATGATATTCCTAAAAATAAAATGTAAATGATCAAAACGTAAGGCATTCTTTTACTATAAAAGCATGCATAGCAAGAAGCGTAGAATGCACTACATACCGAGAGCATGAAACAAATGGAGGGAAAAGCAATGCAGCATTTCTGCTATTCTGTGCTCTTCTTGGCTTTGGCATTTGGCCCAAGTATGATCTGCTCTGGTCTTCCCGTCATGACAAAGCGCTTTGTGCGCATTGTTAACTTGCTCGACGACAAGCAACTTGTCTACCATTGCCGTTCAGAAGATGATGATCTTGGTGAACGAACTCTTGCTCCAAAGCAGGAGTGGGAATTTGAATTCCATCTGGACTTCGAGAGCTATTTCAATTGTGAGTTTTGGCACTCCAATGACCACCATCAGAAGTTCGATGTGTTTGTTCCCAGTGATAAGTTTGTTCACAGGTGTGGCGGGGCTCATTGCATTTGGCATGTAGAAGAGACTGGATTCTTCTTATATCACATCAAGACTGGGTGGTTGGAAAAATCTTATGACTGGATAATAGGAGGATGAAAAAAGCCATATTTTCTCCACATCCATTGAATTGAGCTCCAATTGTAGTCAAATGAAATATAATAAAGGGAGCTGTTCTGGGTTTAATTTCCTCATACTTTTGTTTGATTGTATTTTCATTTCATCAGAATCTTGAGTTTGTTTTGGTTCATGCTTAGAAGAAAAGAAACACTTATTGCTGATCTTTTCGGAACTAAAAATAGAGTTAATTGCACAATGACCCCCAGAATTTATATAATAACTTCAGTTTTTTTTTTTGAAACGGGAACTTCTATTGATGAACAAAACTAGTTCAGAGTACAAGAATCCTCAAGAAGCAGGTCCTGTATGATCTAAGGCTTCAACGAGCAAACCGATGAGTCCCAACATTTTGGTTCTCTAAACACACCTGAAGGTTTCAGAATTATTTAACATAATGCCACTACAAGGGAAAAATCATTAACAGAGCTAAATAGATAAAAATGCTAAAACACCCTTGTAGAGTTGTAGTATTGCTTTTGTTCTATTCAATTTTTCTAAAATTTTAAAACACTATTTTTTTAATACAAGTGATAGTTTAAACTACAAGGGGATGATAGTTTAAAAATAGAGTTCATTGCACACAATCGCAGCCAGAATTTAAGTAATACCTTCCGTTTTAAAATTAAACAAACACAGCTCAAGGTTCTAGGGTTATTGAACATAATCCACTACAAGGAAAAAATCATTAGCAGAGTAGAAGTATTGTTTTTTCTTCTATTCAATTATTCTAAAATGTTAAAACACTATTGCCAAATATATAGATGAGTAGAAAAAGACATTGACTTGCAGATCATGTGTCTCATATTCGAACTGTCATGGCACCTTGCTATTGTGTGTGTGAGAAACTTTGCTTTCTCTTAAAGTTTAGACTATCGTTTGTTTTAAAAACAAAAACAAAAACAAAATGTTAAAACACTATTAGGTTGAATACATTTTAGATTTTTTTATTATTATTTTTTTTTAACAAAACAAATTTGACCACATTAATTGAACATTTAATGGGAAAGGATAATGGGGCAATCAAGTGTTCAGTTAATTTTTTTTTTTTTTTTTTTTTTTTTTTGTTTTATGAATGAATAAATTTTTTTTTTTTTTTTTTTTTCATCATTATTATCTTTTTTAAGAAGTGTACCCTTATCACTATTCTCAACACTTGACATGTGTCCATAGGCATAGCCATGGTTCCATAAATACAAAGCAAAAGTTAACTATGGTTATTCCTATGGACACATGTCAAGTGTTGAAAATGGTAGTGAGGGTACACCTTAAGTTAAAGTGGTGAGCAAAAATATTTCCTTTTTTTTATTATTAACTTCAAAAGATCCCCCAAACTATGGGGTTATTTTCAAGTTCAAAATCATTTTGTAAAACATTTACAACTGTATACACAAACTCCTGGAAAATCTACATTTTACCCACTTCGTTAGACAAACTGTTAGTATATCTGTCAAATTCTGATGTGGCAAATATAAGCCCTTTTTTTCATGACGTGGACTCCAAGTGGACAAAACAATAAATAAACAATTCTTTATTTTTTTTTAAATTTAAAAAAAGGTTAAATAATTATATTAAATAAATACATTAAAAGTGAAATTTTTTTATATAAAAAATCAATAATTGTATTCATAAATTAGACACAAGGATCATCAACCACAGGGGCGAGAACAAGTACAAATACCCACAAATGGTTAATACATATATGTAAGCATAGTAACCACATATGGTTAATCCAAATATATGCAACATAAAACCAAAACAATTTCAACATAAAAGCCGCACACTTGAACAAATCTTCCAATACAACTACAATCTTTAAACTCTCAAGTGCAAAATATAAATAGAGAGTAGATTACAATTAAAGACTCAACTCACAAAGAGTTTATACAATTATTACAAGTCAAGAAAACTGACTGAAATTGAAAAATGCATGAGATCCCGAGCATTATACCTTAGTCCCCAAACCCTCCGTCGTCTCTGGGGTCGCCATTTTCCC